TCTCGGATGACCTGGATGGGCTCAGTGTAAACACAAAGGTCCTTCCAGGTGGAAGAGGGAGGCGAAATCAGGCGGCTGTGAGGTTAGGAGGACTCTGCCCACTGTCGCTGGCTCTGAAGATGCAGGAAGGGCCACAAGCCAAAGGGCGCAGTGACCTCTAGAAGCCAGAAAAGGCAAGGAAATTAGTTTTCTAATTCTCTCCCAGAGCTGCCAAAGGAACACAACTATGCTGATTTTAGCCTAGGGAGACCCATGTCAAACTTCTGAAGTCCAGAAGAGTAAGATAACTGATTCATGTTGTTTCAAGCCAAGCAACAAGAGAAAGTTAGTGTGGACATACCTGCGTTCTCCGTTTTAGAGGGGCAGCCTGTGTTCTTCCTCTAAACGAGGTATTATTACTTTTTGTGGGACATTTTGAGCATGCAAACATGAGCACAGAGTCATTTGAGTAGATTTTGGGCATTTTCTTTTTTTTTTCTACAAGTCTGTAATACATTCCAAATATTCCCATCAAGATGGGAGGTGCCCCTAAGTTAAGTTGGTTAATCTTCCAATTCCCAGCTCTTTTGCAAGAAGCAAAGGAGAAAACAAAAATCTCCAAGCACCCCAAAGTGCAGAGCAACAATGCGGATTGTGTGGCCCTTGCTCCTCCTGCCCAGCACAGTGGTGAGCTGTAAGAAAAGGGGTTAATGTGCACGAGGAAGGTAAGACCTGAGTTGTGAGGGAAGAACAGCTCCCTAGAGCAGTGCGTTATTTGCAAAGTACATTTTCCTGCTTCCATGGTGTGCAGAGAACCTGGGCTTCCTGACATGTTGCAGCTAGCTCAGACGCTCCGACAGAGCCAAATGACTCAGTCCCTGGACCACTACCAATGTTTTCGGGATTGAATCCTGCACTTATTTTCTGAGGAACAATGTTGAACTGGTCTCTGTGGCATTGTGTCAACTGACATCACCCTTTAATTGCAGATATGTCACGGCAGACTACCACCAATACTGAGTGAAGGATCCCAGGACGAGTTAAACAGTACAGTGGAAGCTGTGGTGCGTCTTCCATATTCCTGGCCCGGCAGAAGATCCAGGCCATGAAGATATGTGCTAGTCAAGCCCGCTCACTCTGACCTCGAAAATGCTCAAACAGGTTGAATCACATTTATCTACCAAGTACAGGGCAAGCCGGTGTGACAGTCTCTCTGAAGGGCGCCTTACTCTGCTCTTATCTATTTTAAGTAACTCCCACCAATCAGATAGTGCTTGAAACACACACAAGCTAGGTTCACACCAAAAGCATTTTTATGTCCCCCTGTGGATGGCTAATGTCTATGCCATGAATTGTGGGACTCAGAATAAGCTACTGCTTAGAGATTGTGAAAGTGAATGTCTGCGTGGAGGATGAAATCGTGAGTCCAGTGGCCTCTGAATCAGTAACATCCTGTGAAGGAGACCGTGCCCATACTTGTTTTCAATACCAGGAGATCAGGAGTGGATACAAAGAGAATTGACCTTTGTAAGAGTCCTTTACACAACTGTCCATCCAGATGTGACCTCACCCAGAGTCATCGGCTGGCTTTTAATAAGACACTTGACATAAAGAACGAGAGCAGCCTTTATGAATGTGAAAAGATAAAAGTCAGTGGTCTCTTTCATACCTGTGAGGACTGAGGTTGAGGGCTCCCTGGATGAACGGCCCCCCTGAAGTTCTTACGAGGCTCTTTAGTTCCCGGGGAACAAAGCTGATGGACCTCCAGCAGCCGTGATGAAGGTCTGGAGAAGAAAGCAAATGGAAAAACTCACAATGCTATGTGGGTCTTTGGATTTCCCTGGAAAGAGAATATCGCCCTCAGGGTGATGGGCACAGGTCTCCCCTTTTCATGGGTACATGTGTAGCAGAATATGGGGCAGTGTGCATGCGTGCTAAGTTGCCGCAGTAGCGTCCCACTCTTTGTTACCCTATGGACTGTAGCCTGCCAGGCTCTTCCACCCATGGAATTCTCCATGCAAGAACACTGGAGTCAGTAGCCGTGCCCTACTCCAGGGTATCTTTCCGACCCAGGGATCAAACCCAGGCCTCCTGAGTCTCCTGCATTGGCAGGTGGGTTCTTTACCACTCTTGCCAACCTGAAGTGGGTACTCTCCTCAGAGGTGAGACACTGATGAAGTACCTTCGATATCACATGCCAGGGAGCTCGCCATTCTGTGTCCTCAACAGATAAATCACAGTCCCCTTTCATTATCACAACACTCTGTTCTAAGCAAAGTACTAGACACTTTCCATGTATTATTTTCACGACCACTTCTCTGCCATGTTCTTTTTCTAAAATGTCGCCCCAAAGCCCCAGGAATTTGGCCAACACTGCATTGGATGGTCTGACAGTGTCTCTGTCTGCAAAGCTACTATATTAAGGCTAGTGTGTATACTGTTTAAGTTAAGGGTGGGTTTGAAAAAGAACCTGGATAATCTAATGCTTGTGTTCCATACACTGCCACTTAAGATGACCTCAGATTCTTAGGCTAAAATAAGATATCAAGGGTGGCAAAATGATCTCTGCACAGTTCAAATAAATTGATGAAAAGAAAAATAAACATAATCCCTCCCAATTCTGCTGTGTTTAGTTTATAAAATCTTACTATCTGCCTTAAGCTTAGGCATTTCCTAGAAGAGTTTTCAAAGTGTGGTCCTTGTGGAACTTACCAGGTCAAGGTCTTTGGTGGGGTGGTGAGGCTTCACAAGTCTAAACTGCTGACAACCCCCCTGGGAACACCCATTCACAGGACAGCTTTAAAACCACTCTTCAGGAGGCTATAGTCAGTCTTAAACTCTGATATCTAGGGTCCCTCCCTCCCCCCTTCTTCCCTCCCTCCCCTCCTTTTTTCTCCTTCTCTCTCCCTCCCCCCTTTTCTCTCCCTGTCCCATGATTTTCAATTCTTTAATGCTTTAGTCTCTTTCTTTCTCCTATGTTTTTCTGTCGAAGTTTACTTTTGTCCACGTGCCAGTGAGAAGGACAATTAAATCAAATGTAGGTAGGTGGGCAGGTAGATTTAATTACATGAAGAAAACAATGTATTCTTCAGACTTTTTTTTCCATGAAGAGCAAGCTATTTCTTTAGAAAACTTCCTTGGCAAGCTGGAGGGAGAGAAGCCAGCCCCTCAGGGCCTCCGTTTGAACAGCAGGCTCTGCAGGGGGCAGAGAGAGGAATGTGTTTATTGCTCCTGAGCAGAGGAGAGGAGATAAGGCAGGATGAGGGGCCTGAAGGAGGAAGGGAACCAGTAGGATTGGGGGGCGGGGGGGGGGCGGGTGCGGGCAGTGCTCACAAACCACAGTATGGCCACTCCCAGCACTTGCACCAAATGAAAATAAAATACACCCAAATGCGCGTAGAATTCATGTTGGTGGAGTCTGAGTCAACAGTGGTGTTGAGTCAACAATGAAGGCCGAATTCTATATTTCGGTGGATGCCTGAGAGAACCAATCTAGGAAGCCACAGAGAAGCATGAGGCATTGCTCTCCCCAGATCCTCAGACACCTCTGTAAATCTAAGGGAGGGCTTGAGATTGGCAGGCATGAGTCATGACCTCGGGGTCTGAACTAAGTTTAAAGATCTCTTAGGAAGAGAGTTAGCTGTGAGTTATCAGAAGATGAGGACACTTCTGAAAGTCAGAGGGAGCGTCTGAAAGATGCAAGGACAGGAGGCATATCCCAGGAATCAACCAGAGAGGCCTCGGGTATCTTGAGTTCACAGGAAAGCGAGGACACATCATGCAGCTGGCTCAGAAGGTCCCCCTAAACTACGCTCAGGCAGTTGGGGGACAGAGAAGAAGGGAAAGAGATGTGACTGCATCTGGAGGAGAAGCTCAACAAACGTCAGCCTTCACGTCTGGGAGAAGATCAATATTGGCGACCTTAGGTAACAGATGAAGATAGATTCAGTTTTATAGTAGATTCAGATAAATAACCAACACTGGAATAAAAGGAATTTTTCAAGAAGGAATAAAGGAAAGAAGCCAGGGAAAAGGATGGAAGGGAGGGGGAGAGGGAAGGAGGAAGGAAGCAAAGGAGGAAAGGAGGAAGGGTGGGCAGGAGGGAGCGACAGAGGCAAGAGGGAAGGAGGAGGGGGTTGGTTTGGAGCGATCTGTTCTCCGCTGCCTTCCTCAGTGACTGAGCGTAGGATTCAAAATGCTGGGACTGAGCCATGTGTGAGGTTCCCTGGAGGGAGGAACTCCCCTCCCTGCAGGCAGAGGTTGAGGACATGCAAGGCCAGGCTGTCCTGTGCTGCCCTGGGCCTTTGGCCATAAGTAGGGTCATTCAGTTACAACTGATCTTGTTTCATTTTCTTGACAGCAAAAACCAGAGTCGAAACTTCCACAGAACAAAGCAAAAGCGGGTAACAGCCACAATGGTAACAAAGTTCTCCCATTGTGGAGAGGAGACTGAATGGACGTGGGGGACAGCACCCCTGAATTTGACCCCACAGGCCAGCCGTGTGTGTTGCCTCACCGTCTGCCCAAGGAGAGTGAGCTGAGGTCTGGAGAAGCATAAGGGAAAGGAGGCTGAAGCCAAGGCAGACGCTGGAGGCTTGGGTACCACTCTCTGCTGATATACTGAAGAAGAGAGAGATCGGGCCGGGGGGACACCCACTCATGCCCCCCAGCTTGGTGATCTGCTTCAGATTTCTGTCAGTGAAGCTAAGGCAACAGACAACATCACAATGACGATGATACTATCAAACAACGCTACCATAGCAGTGACTGCCTTCTTTAAAAGCGCCAAACCCCCAAAGACAAGTTGGTCTTCATATCTTGAACGATTGCAAAATGCCTCTCCCCCCTCCCCCCGTCATCTTTCTGAGATGACTGTTCCCTCCAAATGAGTCATTCCAATAGGAATGTTAATGTATTTGACATGTGTCAACATCACCCTGAAGAAAGGCTGTTGGATGGTTTTACTGGCACACAGCGCGGGGCACTGATGACGCGCGCATTTGCCTCGGCCTGACACTCACACGGCATGTTCAAAGCCGATCGCCTGTGGGATCCTGACGTTGGTCCAGTGAAGGAGTCCTGGTCGCCATGCTCGCCAACCACGTTCCTGCCACCATTCCTTTTAGGGAAAGGAGGGCCTATCCTTTCTCGAATCAGAAATGTGTACGGAGACTGTCCTCCACGCAGATACTGGCGGTATGAAAATAAAGCATTTGGAATAACATGCAAAACTGGTAGTACAGGGCTGAGACACAATACTGGATGTGAAGATGCAGGTGTTTGCACTCAGATAATCGTGGCTTTCTGATTTTTCAGTTTGCTCTTATGTAACAAGTACAGAAATGACAAGAGTGGCCTCGGTCAATGTGGGCACTGCTCATATATTGACCTGCTATGAGACCAACTCCCTAGGGACGTTGCCCCCGGGAACTGGCTTCGGGTTGCCCCAGTCACGGGAGGCACTGGCTGGGGTCTGGCGGCTGGGAGGTGAAGGCCTGCCAGAGGGATTCTTGCCTGCCCTGTGCTGTGCCCGGCGTCTCTGGCAGGGCCTGTCCCTCCTTCACCGGTCCCGCCCCACCCAGGGAGCCTCCACCACCCAATCTGCCGTCGTACAGGCTGGCTCTTGAGTCCGGATGAGACCTCGTCCTGCCTTTGTCCCCGCAGCCCCAGGGGCGGCAGGAGACCCCAGCTGTCACCCATCCCTGCTTGCCTTTCGTTGACACCTTCAGACTCTGTAATACGAAGGCCCATGGTGAATTTTTGCTGTTGGGCCCCTGGCTCTGACTCTTCTTTCTGACAGGCTGGAGTGGGACTGATCCAGAACATTCCATAGGGTCACGTGAATGCAGGGTTGGCATGTCAGTGCGCTGTTATCTGACTTACGTCTTTTCAGTCCGTTTCCTGTCCGCCCGAAGAAAGTTCTCAAAATTACGTGGACTCTCAGATGGTGTTCCGTTCAAACTTTCAGGGCATGCAGTTTTAATAATATTGTTGGCATATGATTCTCCCTAGGAATGAAAAAATACCTAAGACCCTGACGGATTTACATTACAGTCTGGGGTGGGCGAGTAGCTGAGGAGACGTTTTCAGAGGATTCTGAGCTTGGGTGGGGAGACACTTCCCCAAACCAGAAAGGACAGCACATCTCGGTGGAGTAACCACCCCTCTCCCGGGGGCCCCTGCTCCATCTGCTGGGGCGCTGTGGGCCTCCTTTCACAAGCCTCACTCCCGCTTCACTCCCGACTGACACGGAGCTTGGCGGGATGCTCGGGTCAGGTGTTCCCTTGCTTCTGAGACTTGTCACATTCGAGAGAGAACTCGGTCCCAGCCCGGAGGGCTCTGCCCCGCGGAAGGTGAGGCCCAGCTGTTCTGGAACCACGAGACAAGTTGTGCCGAGCGAGAAACGGCCCCAGGTCTCGGCGCGATCACGACGTGAGCACTGATTTGCGCCCATGGACGGCCGCTCTTGGACGTGCGGTGAAGTCTCCACGGCAGACACCTGGGTCTCCCGGGTGCCAGCAGAATCATATCCACAACAAGGCCACCTAACAACCTGGCCAAGAAAATTAGTGATGGGCGTACCTCATAAAACATTTAAGTTCGGGCTCATTTCAATTAAGCCTCTCAGAGCCTCAGGTGCCTGTCCAAAGCTTACCTGAACCTGAACTCTTGGAACCAAGCAAGTTTGCTGAGACCTGCACGAACATGCTTTCCCATGAGAAGTCTGGCAGGAAGAACCCCCTCATCTCCACCCCAGTCTAAAAAGATCCCAGCTGAGAACTACAAAAAGTACCTCCCAAACATTTCCAAACTCTGAGAAGTCTGGATTTCAGTTTAACCAGCAATGCCCCAAATCTGCTTTTTATTGAGGGGTGGGGTGAGGTGGGGTGGGGAGGGTGAAAGCTCAAAAAGTATCTTTCTGTCCCAGATGAACATGTCATATAACATGAGGCAGAATGTCTCCATGAGGCAGATAACCAGTGAAGAGCACGGAGCAAAATGTGGTTCCTTCCTTCCTACTCTGGATTGAAAACTGTGGGTTGCATTGAGTTAGATTGGGGGGGTGAGCTCAGGCCAGAGCGGGTTGGCTTCCTCTTACTTCCTACCGTCATTAAAAGCCTTTATCTAATATATTTAATGACAATGATAGTAACAATATAATAACTGAACCCAGATCAACCCTGTGCTGAGCACTTTATAAGTGATTATCTTATTTTATCCTCATAGCTACTCTATGGGCTGGGTGCTGACTATCTACACTGTACAGACGAGAGAAGCAGGCCATGTGAGGCTACATTACTTGTCTGAATTCACCACTATTAAGCGGCAGGAACTGAATTTGGGTCTCTTCAGTTATAGAGCCCCAGCCCCTAAACATTTTGCTGGATGGCTCTCCCCTGAGATGCTTTATCGTAACCAAGAACAACCCATCATCTGAATAAATGAAGCTGGTTCCACTCATCAGAAAATGGGCATGAAAATGCTTTGAGAGTGGCGAAGCCTCACAGAAAGGTTAAGAATTAATTACTACAGAGAAAGAAATTCTACAGTGTAGGATTCTACGGTGTAGGAGGAACAGCAGAAAAGGGAGAGTGGGAAAGATATGGATCATGAAATGAAAAGAGCTGTATCTTGGAAACGTATCAGTGTAACGATTATGAATATGTAAAACTTAAGCATTCAAGAACAGGAAGGGAGAAATAAGGAGAAGTGAGGGGGTGTTAATTTGTGGGGAGGTGTGAGAATGGGCACAGATCTTTTCTTTCTCTGATTCAGATTTCCATTAGGTCATCTGTGCAAATTGAAAATGACCCTAGGAATCCTCATCAAGAACCGGGCATTCAGGACTATAGTGTGGTTAACCACAGCCCTGCAGACACAGGCTTGGCATGTCAGGGCTATGTCACTGAACAATACTTGGAGGGAGTGCATATTCTACATGGCAAGTGTCTCTATTCTTTTGCCAGGCCAGGCTCTGAGATGTCACCCTTACGACAAGGAAAACCCTGGAAGAGGAGAAAGAACACAAACTTCGTGCCTTGACTTTAAAAAGGCTATAGGCTCTTCTGCATGTTCTTAGAAACACGAGTTGCACAGGATCTCACATTTGAAAGTGCATGAGAATCACCCGGTGATCCTTTAAGACTGAAGACTCTCAAAGATTCATACCTAGACGTTTGTGACACAGAAGTCCAATGGGGACAGGCAATCTGTACTGTTAACCACTGCCCTAGTTTAACAAACCCTTCAGGAGACCCGGGTTGTCGACCCCTGGGTCGTGAAGATCCTCTGGAAATGGAAATGGCAACCCACTTCACTATTCTTGCCTGGGAAACTCCATGGACAGAGGAGCCTGGAGGAATACAGTCTAAGCGGTCGCAAAGAGTTGGACATGACTGAGCACCCACTCACACGCACACAGGTGGTTGGGATGTCAGTGGCATGCAGACCACGACGGGACAGAGGAATTCACAGCTCAAGTGAGAGGACATTAGGCTCTAATTTTCATGAGTGTGGAAGCTGATATTTGTTGTATGTCGTTATAACTGAGCTCATTTTTAGAAAACCAGATTTTTTGCATTGGAGGATGGTGTGAATTTGGGGGAAGCCATATATGCTTAGAACTATGTGATCTCAAATCATATACACAGAATAACCTTGTAGAGTAGGATTATTTTGCAGGTAAGGGAACTATAGATTAGGAAGGTTTAAGTATTTTGAGTAAGGGCATACAGCTAAGAAGTGTGGGGTCAGGATTCTAAACCAATATGTATACTGAGACCTTTTCAGTACGCCATGTGCCTTCCAGACCTCTGTGTTCAGGGGAAATGCATGATGCATCCATGACTGAAACAACAGCTAGTCAGGAGAAAAAGTGGACATTGTAAATGGAATGGCCAAATTCACCAAGCCTATGCACACTGACCTTCGCAGGGAATGTCAGTCCTGAGGGCTGAGTCCCACGGTTCAAACCATCTACTCGAGGGTCACTAAAGTCACCTTTCTACCGGTGGGCTGCCTCTTACTACTCTTTCTCAGCTGCGGCTCAATCAATGGATACAACTGACCAACTGCCATGACAGAGCAGAAGCTTAATACGTCCCGTACCCTGGTTTGATTTTATCACAGTCATGAAAATGGGGGAAGGGGGGAGCATATTCTCTGCAATGAAGACTTTTCTTCTTTATATTTTAATAACGTTTCATTTTTTATAATTATCAAAAGAGCATATCAATTTCTTCAGTGGATATTTTTGGAATTCTAAGGCTGTGTGCCAGGGAGGGAAGGGGGTTTAGATTTCTGAACAAGGCAAAGCTCTGCCCTTGGGAAGCTTATATTCGAGAGGATGGAGCACCAGTGACATGTAAGAAATAAACAACTGAGTACATAAGATGTTGGCAAACATCAGCGTGGAGAAGAATAAAGCAGAGTAAGAAAGATAAGGACGGGAGCGTGGTCTGCATATTAGTTATATGTATTCATACATATTAATGTGTAGATGAGGAGGGCATGGTAACCCACTCCAGTATTCTTGCCTGGAGAATCCCATGGACGGAGGAGCATGGCAGGCAATGGTTCATAGGGTTGCAAAGAATTGGACACGACTGAGTGACTTAGCACACACAATGTGTAGATATTTTTAAAAACTTTGAACACTATGAAAAGAATATAAAACATCACCCAGAATCCTACTACACAGAGATAACCACTGCTGACAGTTTGGCCCATTTTCTCTCAGACTTTTTTTCCTCTACTGAATTGTGATCACATTCTACCTGCTTTCTTAGTGTAATCTGCACTCTTTTAACCCAACAGGCCACAGTCTTTCTCCCATGTCATTAACATGACTTCACGGTTGAAGGCTTGCTGAGTGCCATTGGAGGGAGGCACTGTAATTGATTCAGCTATTTTCTCTGCTGTTGGTCATTGAGATGATTTCCTATTCTTCCCAGTACAAATATCATGATGATGTTCTTTCTTACCTGTAAGCTGTTGTGTGGATATCTGAGTGCTTTTCCAGAATAAATTTGTGTATTTTTGAGTGTTTTCTGAGGTTCTTGATGAATGTTGCCAAACTGTCCCCCAGAAACAGGGTATAGCAAAGCCTTTTCTAAACTCTCTCAAGAGTTCTGTTCCAGGCATGCACTTAATTTGCCACCCACCCCACCTTGAGGGTCCAGGCCTTCCAGGTCTCAGGATACCATATGCAAGTGCCATTCCCTGGTGTGACCCTTGAAAGGATGCTTGCCATCTGTGAGGTGGAGGAGAATGCCTCTGACTACATGGGCCAGGACCTGAAGAGGTGACTTTCCTCCCTTCCCCCAACCTTTGCTTGAGTGAGTCTTAATCTATTCCGGGCCTCTTGGGGACCCCTCCAGGAGGCTGTAATCACAGCACTAACCTGTGTTCACATTTCCCATTATCGAGCAGAAATCCCCCTGTGCATCAACATAGCCTGGCTGCTTCCTAATGGCCCCAGCTCCCAACTTCTAATGGCCCCATCCTCATTTCTCCCAAGAGCCAGCTCTTTTTGTTAGTGTTTTAAGATTCCTGGTCCAGACGAAACTTCCCCCATGATGTCCATCTGGCCAAATTGAAGGTGATGCCGGCAGTGAGACAGAGAGACGGGTGTGTCTGCGTCAATAGGACAGAGAAACATCCAGGGCTATCCATCTTCCGTCTCCTCCGGTGACATCCAAGCGCCCCCTCCTTGTCTGAGACGTGGGGGTGAGCGACCATGTCCCTAATTGCCAGCGCAGAGAAGGGGCGGATGCTGGGACTCTGCTCAGCTTCCCCTCCAGCCCTGGCAGCACAGGAAGACGCTGCTTTTCTGTTTGTGGGTCAAACCCCTCCAGAGTGCGGGTCTTCCCCTTTGCAATTTACTACATCAGAGATGCAATCTTCAGAGGAGATGTTACCAAGGGCAACAGAACTCTCTGCACGTTGGTCCTTGCCAGGGTCTGAGCTAGCTGTGCCTCAACAAGGAGGCCCTTACCAACTCTTGACCTCAACTGCTTCCTCAAAACGGATAGAATGCCATGCTGATGTAGAGAATCATGCTCAGAAGTGATTACCAAGCATGCTGCTAGCACAAACATAATGATTGTTTAAAAAAAGGAAAATATTATAAGCACTGGACCCTGCCAGCATCTCCAATTTTTTTTTTTTTCCGTTCCTATGAAGCCACCTGGGGATCAAGTTTTCCATTTCTCCCCTCCTTGATCAAGGTGAGAGATTATTCCCATGTGCTTTCCACAGCCAACTGCTAAGCACACGGGTTTCAGGCTAGGCACCCACTTCTGGGAAGAGAGAGGTGGGGGAGGAAAGGAAAAATAAAAGTTCTTGCGTTGCAAATTCAAGAAGTTAACTCTGAACTTGGATTTAACTGTTAAAAGTGTTAGTCGCTCAGTTGTGTCCGACTGATGGACTGTGGCCCGCCAGGCTCCTCTGTCCATGGGATTTCCCAGGCAAGAATACTGGAGAGGGTAGCCATTCCCTTCTCCAGGGGATCTTTCCGACCAGAGGATTCAACCGGTCTCCCACCCTGCAGGCAGATTCTTTGCTGTCTGAGCCACCAGGGGAATCCATGTTAACTGTTAACCAGTAATTAAAGAACGAAATCAAAGAAGAGTCTTCTTTCCAAATCCTTAAAGGATTCCTGGGGAGCAGACTGGAGCCTCTTTGAGTGACAAAGAGCCAAGGGAGCCCCTGCTCACCCCCTCGCTCTGTGCTTCTAGCATCCTGCCTCACTCAGGTTTCGGGCAAACGGCACTCACTGGCTCAACAACCAGGACGGGGCGTCTTTTGGTTTCAGGGATTCTGTTGGTACCGGAGGCTCGGCAGTGAGCAAACTAGAGAAAGCTCCCTGCTTCCTGGAGCTTCCACTCTAGAGGTCTGAAGGCAGGTCAGCCACCAGGAAAGAGCGGAACAAGAGAGGAGCTTCAGGGCAGTGCAGTGCTTGCAGGAAATTCACAAAGAAGGTGACTGTGTACCAGTGGAGGGAGCAGCTGATGGAGAGCCATGCCTCTCCTCCGTCCCCTGTTCCATTCGCAGGAGCCAGAGGGAATTTCTTGAAGGGAAATCGGATCTTGCATAATAACCCTGGGAATCTGACATTTCACTCCTGGTCCTTTATGCAGTGTCTTCTTCTGTCTACTAGATGGTAAGCGTCCTGAAAGCAGGCATAGGACTGCACTGCTAACCTCTTCCTTGCGGTGTAGCCCACAGTAGGGACTCAGCAAATGTTTGCTGAACGGATGGAAAGATGGATGGATGAGCTAAGAAAGGCTCTATTTGAGGAGGCCACTGTCACTGACGCTTAGGAGAGGCTCCAGCTACTTCATATCCATCAGGGAAGCACCCAACTAGAGAGGTAACAAACAAGAAGCCAAGTACACGAAGCCCATGCACTTGGGAAGCTGGCTCCAGGCATCTGAAAATGGCAGCTCCATGACTGTGCACCACCAACCCAGGCACAGAGCCTGGAAAGGTGACCCCAGAGCCTCGCTTTCATGGTAGGTCTACAAGGGTTTCCATGGGGAGATCACCGAGAAGTATGATTGACTCAATTCTTTAACATCATTATTCAAATTCCTAGAAGGTAAGAGAGGTCTTACAGAATGATGGGAAGGTAGCCCCTCCAAGGCTCTTAGACACTTAGGTTAGGAACTCTATGAAGGTACTCTGGGTTCTGCCTTTATCCATGGGACGGTTATCATCTCCAAGTAAGGTGCTCGCTGGTAGTACACCTGATTCTTTCTACTCACCAACTCGGTTCAAACCTTCACTGAGGATCTTTGCTGAGAAAGTCAGGCTTTCTGCTTGGTCATTCGGAGGTCTTGAGGCAGAGGCACTTTTTGAATCATCAAAGATCTGAAAGTTAACCTGGCTTTATCCAAAGGCTGTGAATTCCTTATTAGAGGAGAGACTGAGGTCCAGGCTGGACATGTCAGTGGTGTTACACAGGTTTCCTGCAGAAAGTAGAGCATACCTCCAAAAATGTTTTTAAGTAGAAACACTGTAGACTGGAGAAGCAATTTACCTGTCCTCCTAAGAGCAAAAGTCCTCTTCAGATTTCTTCCAGTTAGTGAAAACAGGTATCAGTGCAGGTCATCTTAAAGTGAACTTGCAAAATGTATAGGAATATCTTATCTGTAGATCAAACACTGGATAAGAATTGAAAAAAAAAAAAAGAAAGTTGCTCTCAAATGCGGTCCACATCTGACCTTTTGTAAGCCTATGATGTAAAACCCTCCCTCTCTGAGCTCTCAAAGGGGACTTTCTCCTCTTCTGCATCCATGTCACACACTGGGAGTCAGGACCCAAGGGTTTCGAGGCCTTTTTTCACTCATCTGCAAAGAGGGGTTGAACAGTTCTATCTCCTAGTGTGGTAAGGGTTCCCAGGGGGTCACACTTAGGAAACACCAGGCTCCCACTCAGCATTTCATAAATCATGGGGGCATCTGAAGGTGAGCACTTTCAGTTCTGGGACACTGAAAGTTTAATATTTCTTAATAACACTAACTACACCAGGCCAAGGCAGAGATCGATAGGACTCCAGGGCTACCCCTGGTCCCTGGTTTAGGGAAGCAGTGAACCATGTGTTGATTTTATCACTTTGATGACCTGTACACCCACCTAGCAAGACTAGGCCTTAATGTGTAGTCTCAATTTCTTGATTTAAGAGAAAGACCCATATTCTGAGAGAAGCTTATTTTTACCAGTCTCATAAAAAAGTAATTTCCCACCCATGGAGAGTGCACTGGACTATAAGAGGACCTGCTAAATGATATAGGGATATCAGACACCATAGAGGACATTTGTCTGTGCTAGTTCTTCTTCCTACCTACCCTCGTCCTAGCCTCTTCGCTATGTCCATCCATGAAACCTCAGCTCAAACATCACCTCCTCCGTGAAGGCTGCCTTGATTGCTCTAAATGACTAAGTTCTTTTATATTCTGTGGTGGTGTCATGTATGTACATCTCCCTTGTAACATGAAAACAGTGTAACTTTGGTTCGTGATGGGATTTGGGTAACACTGTTTTTCTCACTTGATGGCAAACATGGGGGTAGGAACCCCCAGTGCCCACCAGAAGGGCAGAGCAGCCTCCAAGGAAATGCTGGCAGAAGGAGAAAAGACATCTGCGTGGCTCTTGGCTACAAAGAGCACTGAAAGCAGGCCAGACATAGCATCATGTGGCTCGGTGTCTCACTACCCCGCGAGGCTTGGAAGGGAGCAGAGGTTGCAACCGGAGGGATTCAGGTTAGCATTCAGGAAGGAAGCAAGCTGCTCCACAAACATTCTCTCAAATCCTGGGCTGCGGAAAGAGTTACAGTGGGCCACCAGAGCCATATCAGCCTCTACAAACATAGCAATCTGCTCAGCCCTAACCCTGATTTTTATTTTTCCGTAGGTTTTACAGAAGAGTTTTCGAAGATAAACTTTACGGCGAAAGATTATGAGCAGGGTTTTGGCAAGGCTTCTTAAGCCAGGGGGATTTAAGGAAGGAGACAGTCCTATCTTTCTGGGACCCAGGGAGTCTCTGGGGATAGGTGGTGCTGGACCGGCTCTCGGGGGTTGAGTAACACTGGGTAAAGTTCAAACACACCTCCTTTAAGCCACCAGACAAGAAACACCCCTGGTTGGCTTCTGCTGTGTTAGGGGAAGAGGGGGGCACGGCCGGCGAAGGGAAGATGGAAGGCTAGTTGGGGCCTTTCTGCTCAGCCTCTTAGGCAACAGCAGACTGAGTAGAGACACACTTCCCTGAGGTGCCAGGCTCAGAACAAGGGCTAGGTTGGTAGGCAGTCTTCTGCCAGGTAGAAAGCAGTCTTACCAGCAGACGCTCCTCCACCAGTCAATCCGGCTCCTGGCTGAGGGCCCCCTTTCCAGACAGTTTGCACACACACAAAAAAAGAGGCCTGAGTTCATTTCTCACCAACATTTTTTCTCCTGCATTCTCAATCCTTAAGTTTTGCTGTTGTTTTTAATTTATACGCCATGGCACCCTTGTCCAGTAGAGAACCTAGCGAGGGCGCCTGGAGAGCAGGGTGGAGAGCCTGGGGTCTGCCAGGGTGGTACTGTGTGAACTTGGCCAGGCACACGGCCTCTCTGCGCTCAATGTCCTCACCTTTAGCGGGGTTGATTTTGCCTGCCATGTTGACCACGCTAGCGGTGAAGCCATAAGGAGAACTGGAAGGAAGCCCCTTGAAAACAAAGAGAAAAGAAACTTGGTAAGACAAACACGTTTTGTTACCCATGCTGAACTGGAGGGTTCTTCCTAACCCTGGGAACTAGTGACTGCCAGCATGCAGGTGGGTTGATGCAAGCGCAGTCACATGTCAGAGCAATGCCTTCACAGGCTTGCTCTACCTGGCAGGGGTGGGGCATGCCTAGATGGGGGACCCAGGATCCCCCATACATCAGGGGCTGGCTTAAGGTTGTGCAACAGCTGGAGCCAACGACACTCTCGGCTTCAAGTCCTGCTTCTGTCTGGCCACTGGGAGCCAAGGGCTCCGCTGCTGAGTGCCTCAGTTTACCTATCTACACCGAGCTTTAAATTATGGCAACGGCTTAGCAGCAAAAGCACAGCGTCTGACACAGTGTCTAAGTAAGGCAAATGACAGCTATTATTATTACTACTAATGTTATTATTAACCCGAGTATCCAAAGTACCCAGTGCCGTCTACACCTCAATTCTCTTTCTCTCTCATCCAGGCACTTTCCCTCCTGAAAAATTTCTAAACCGAGGACCTGCTTTGTGGCAAGGAAACTGTTCAGCAATGCCAAAGTGCTCCTGAACCGGTGTTTGTATGGGGTGCGGGTGGGGGTGGGGAGGACTTTCGGGGTGGGGGGTGGGGTGGGGTCGGGTGGGGTGGGGGGGCATTTATCTTTTGGAAGGGACCCAGAGGCCAGTTAGAGATTGGTCGGGGCGGAGGGAGGGGAGGAGGAGGGAGGGCGAGAGAAACCACCCGTGCCCTCGCGCAAGTTCGCCGAGTTGATAAAAGTTATTAAAACATAAAACAAGCACGGGCTCCAGGAGGGATAAATAAATAAATAAATGCAATAAAACAGCCCGCGCGCCCCGCGCTGTTGCCCCTGGCGGTGCAAAGGCAGGAGGGCGAGGGAACTCGGAGAAGAGGAACGAGCCGGACAGGTGCACCAACCTCCCGGGGCGCAGTGCTAGGAGGCGGCAGCCCCGCCCGGGCTCGCCCCCAACTCAGCGCCGGGCCCTCCTCTGGGGAAAAAAAAAAAAGGCCGGAGGGGGAAAAGCCAGCCCGGGGGAGGGCGGAGCCAGCACGGCCCTCGTGCGCCATTGGTCCATCCGCGTAGCAACAGCCGCGTGCCGACCAATGGGAGCCGCGGGCCGCGCTCCAGGAACCTGGCGGGCAGACAGTTCCCTGTCCCAGGCAGGAAAACAAACCCAGGCGCTCTCAGGCTTCAGCGCGAACTTTTTCTTCTTTCTCTCCCTCCCCTCCCCCCTTGCCCTTGCAACTCGTCTTCACCTTTGGTCGACGCTTGCCTGAGTCCCCCCACCTCGACGCCTTTTCGAAGGTCATCCCTTCCCACTCCCAAGGGAGAAAACCTCATTCGTGGTAAACAGCGAAGGACCTTGAAAACGGTTGGTCGGGCTTTCAAATCCCACGGGGTCCCCATCACCAGCGGCCCTTGGCAAACTTGAGTTACAATAGCTTCGCTTTTAATAGTGCGGTGGTTGTTTGAACAGATCTGCAAGGTCTGTGCCCCAAGGAAGGGCCCTCTGAATATCTATTGTGTGCCAGGCTTTGTCCTCGCGGTTTTTATATGTCTCGCTGCTTTTAATGCTCCTTGTGACTCTGGGAAATGAATCCCCCTGTCTCCATGTGAGAGGTGGGAGTTGAAGTTCAAAAGGAGCAACGGAAGCGTCCAAGCAGGCACCCTTGGTATGTGGTCTAGCGGGACTCAAACCCAGGCAAAGATCACTCCGGTCCCTTGACATCACACACCTCCAGGAGCATGCACCCCTGTAAGATACCCTAAAGAAAAACGGTCCAGGGTGTGGGGGACAGTCCCCCGAGTCCCTCTCTGCTACCAAACCAGGGTGTGACCTGCACAGTCGCCTGAGGTCTTGGCAACGAGAAGGTCTCATCTCACACTCGGTTTCAGGCTCTGTTGTTGCTGTTTCGAAATTCTTAAAGATTTAAAGACCGGTCCCTGTGTTTTCATTTTGCACTGGGCCTGCAAATTAGGTAACCAGCTGTGCCTCCAGGGAAAAGAAGCTTCTAGGACAGTTCTGTGAAGACAGCTTATTTCAGCGTCCCAGAGGAAACACACTGGGGGAATTTAGACCTTAAGTAAAGGAGAAGACTTACAAGTGTCTCCCTCTCTCTGTTTCTCTCTCTCTCTCACACACACACATGCTTCTGCACACACCCTGCAGATTAGTCAGTTTTATTACACTGTAACTGTAATTTGAGTCCCCAGTCTATTAAATGGGAGTGTATATATTTATGGCTGTGTTTATGTGTGTGTGCGTGCGCCTGTGTGTGCTTGCTGGGAGAGGGAATAGGGGACTGGGGAATTTACGACACACAGACACAGCCCTGATTATTGACTCTGTTCCTTCCCTTTGCAGACATTACAAGGGATTTGAACCAGGCCCTGCTTTTATGAAATACATACTTGGGAGGTTTTGGAGAGGCGGTAAATGCTGGTCTGTGTGAGACGGAGGATGGGGTGGCGCCAGGTCCTCTGGGAGGAGACAAGCCTTGAATACACTATCCGTGGGGCCTGGCAGAAAACCCACACAGTCCTGCATCTGTTTTTACCCCCAAATCCAAGTCCTCTTTCCTGGCGAAAAGAGAGGCCTGGTCTTTATTCTCCCGATTGTGCTGACTTTACTCTCCAAGTTAGGAGATTATGGGTGAATCACCGATGGTGTGAAAGTCTGGGATAAATGAGAAGAAAGTGTGCATGTATCCCTGACACTGATTTTGGCAACCAGGATGTAAATTGCGTGCAGTCGGGGTTGTAAGGGCCACTGAGATGGCTGATAATTTTGGAGACCTGTGTTTATTTTGTGATGAAGGAAACTGAGGCCTAGGGAACTAAGCCCAGGCCTGCAGGCTAAAGAGCTGGGTGGTAGAGGTCTAAGTGGGTTAGAGTCCACTTCTCTTGACTTCCATTCCAGGCTTCTTTCTTGCTTTCATTTCTGGGTGAGCAGAAAAATGCCATAAAGCATTACATAATCAGTTCGTGTGGGGAGAGGTTAATTTGATGAATAGCAATATGGGGTCAAAGGGGAGGGTAACTAACATTTATTGGGCTTGGAACTTGTCCCTGCTTTGCCTACATGGTCTCATTTAACTGAATCTTCAGGACAACATTGAGAGAACATAGGTAATATTATTTTTATGTAACCGATGGGAAAAATGAGTCCCAGACTCATGGTATAACTTGCTGAGGGTTCCACACCTTGTAAATAGATTAGCCGAGATATGAACTCAGTTCTTTTTAATCCCTGAATAGCAGAACTAAATTATTCAGGTCATTATGGCTCCATGGCAGTTCGTGTTAATGACAATATAAACTAGAGAAATTAGTCTATACCTGCCAAACAGAATTTGTCTGTTGTGGTCAGCATAAACTAACTTTGGGTTATTAGTTACTCTTAATTCAGGTTTGTCTCTATTTTGTGTGGGCTTTCTGGTGATGCTGTGCCCCATTCACTTTGAAACTACAAATCTACTAAAATTATCAGTCCAACCAAAATATGTCTAATGATTTTCTTGGTGGGTTTTTCAGGAAAAAAAAAAAGAGCAAATGGCTTCACTGATTAAATCACTTGATTATAAGTGAAACTGGCAAATACTGGCAGCTATTGTAATGACAAAGACTTCCCCAAGGCTTCTTCTCACCAGTTAATGGAGACTCAGTGGATGCAAAGCTTACAACTATGAAAACAATACTTGTGTGACCTGGTAAACAGATCAATAGAACTGTAGGGCCCCCACAAGATATAACTGATTCCCAACCCCCGAATCTGCGAAGGTGACTTTATTTGGAAGAGAGTCTTCAAAGATATAAATGAGAACCTCAAGATGAGATGTTCCTGGATTTAAGGTGAGCCCTAATCCAATGATAGGTGTCCTTATAAAAGGAGAGGATACATAGAGTAAAGATGGTGACATGAAGATGGGGTCACAGTCTAAGTGTCCATTGGCGGAGGGATGGACACACACACACACACACACACACACACACACAGGAATACTATTGAGCCATGAAAAAGATACCATGCCATTCACAGCAAATGGATGAATCTAGAGATTTTCACGCTAAGGGAACTAAGTCAGAGGAAAGACAAATATCATATGATATCACTTATATGTAGAATCTTAAAAAAAATGATGCAAATGAACTTATTTACAAAATAGAAACAAATGTATGGTTACCAGAGGGGAAAGGAAGGGAGAGATAAATTGGGAATTCGTGATTAACAGATACCTACTACTGTAGGGATTGGGGGCAGGAGGAGAAGGGGATGACAGAGGATGAGATGGCTGGATGGCATCACCGACTCGATGGGCATGAGTTCGAGTAAACTCCGGGAGTTTGTGATGGACAGGGAGGCCTGGTGTGCTGTGATTCACGGGGTCGCAAAGAGTCGGACACGACTGAGCGTCTGAACTGAACTGAATTAAACTACTGTATATAAAACAGATAAACAACAGGGACCTACTGTATAGCACAGGAAACTACATTCAACATTATGTAATAACCTATAATGGAAAACAATCAGAAAGAGAATATGAATCAAACTAAATCAGATTTATGTGGGAATCAAACTAAATCACTGTGTTGTATACCTGAAACACTGTAAACCAGGTGTACTTCAATTGAAAAAAAAAGAGAGATGGAAGCAGAAATTGGAGTGATGCATCTCCAAACCAGAGAACATCAGGGACTTCGGGCAGCCACCGGAGGCTAGGAGGGAGGCATGGCACATGAATCCTCCAAAAGCAGCCTACCCTGCCCACACCTCAGTTTCAGACTGCTGATCTCTAGGACTGTGCAAGGGTAAATATCTGTTGTTCTAGGCCAACTAGTTTGTAGCAGTCTGTTATCAAAGATGTAAGAAAGTAATACAAGTACTAAATTATTTTACCATATTTTAAAAACGAAAGAAACACAGCATGAAAACAGCATTAAAAGAATTCCAAACTAAAACTGTCTGCCTAGAAACATATTGGAAGAAATGATTAAAAATGACATTAGTGTGTCTGTATATCAATAAATAGTTCATGAGGTTTAATCAATCAATACTTACGTATATAACTCAGAAGGACTGTCTAGATTGGATTAGCTGTTCAGTGATAAACTGAACACTGAAGCAACTTGTTGATCTGGCCTGTATCCCGTATGTGTCTAAGAAGGAAGGGAGTATTTCCGGAAGTTTAGCATCTTTGTGTAAACAGAGGTTTCCACTTCTGCCTTGAGGATAGAAAGCTGAACAGAGTATTACTCCCACCTTAACAATAAGAAAAATCCAGATGAACTAGCTTTTCTTGAACCTGTGAGAGAGTTGAAGTTAGAGGGTCACCAAGTGGCCCAATTTCCCAGTAAAGAAAGGCCTCTCCAAGGGATGGGAGAATTGAGATCGGAGTACAGTTTTCCACATAGCAGGCCAAGGGAAGAGTCAACCCCAGGAGGTACCTTAATGTTTTAAATAAACTGCCAGAGATAGAGTCTAGGCCAGAAGGAGGGTAGGAGACCTCTAGGACCCACAGAAACACTGGGAGCTGTCACTCGCTAGTAGGTTTCCAATTTGGTCCACCAGATGCTCACAAGTAAGGCTGGGGACAAGCAGTAGAGCAGAGTGAGCCTCCTTGGGTGATGCATCCCTGGTGGAGAGGACCCACTGCCACTATGGGCGGCGGGGAAGGTGGGGCAGGCAGGACGCCTTTCCTCCTACTGATCAAAATCCTTAAGCTATCTGAGAGGCCCAGCAAACCCTGCAGCATCCAGGGCACAGGTAAAGACTCATTAAGGCTTGGGGAAGAATAAAAGATACCATCCTCTACATCTGGGGCGGGCGATGAAAGAATTCATTCCAATAGAGAGCTCCTGCTGGGGGAGGGCCACAAACTGCTCTCCCAAGTGACCCATCCCGGGGGTGGGGCAGAGGCCGGCGGCCCTGGAGAAGAGGCCCGGAGACAGCCAGAGAAGACACCTGTGAGGCCCAGGTGCACAGGCCTA